TCGTGTCGGTCGTCACGGTGACAGTTTTGCAAAATAGTTTTATTTATGCCCAGATACGACGAGTCACGGCCTTTACAAATAATATAAAAGCCTGCTCTCTCATTTCTGATGTGGATTTCATCCTTGGTTACACACACACAGTGGCTGCTGAAGAGTGTGTGTGTGTGTGTGTGTGTGTGTGCTGTTGCACTGATGTGTTTTATTTGCACCTGAAAAAGTCAATATAGATTAAAAACGTACCCTATTTAATTTCTTATTATACATTCAAATATCAAAATAAAATAACTTTCTCCAACCTCTGAAACAACTTAATGTAAAACTAAATTTTAAAGTAAAATTGATGCCCTGTCATTAAAAGCAATATTCCAGGTTATTAAAACGCACAATAGGAATTGTTCATTTTAAAATGAAAAAGCTATCAGTATTTACTCACCCTCATATCACTTCAAACTGTATGACTTTATTTCTTTTGTGGAAGCCAAAAAAAAAAAAAAAAGAAATTTAGCATCTATATGCATACAACAAAAGTCGTTTTTGGAGGTCTATTTCATGATCTACATCTATAAACAGTCATGTATAATGTGTTATAGTTTTAAAATAATAGTTTAGTTTCAAATTTCATCATTTACTTGTAGTGCTGCCCATTTTCCTTCTTAAATAATTTATTAAAAATACAAGTAATTTTAGTCTTAATACTTTTTGTTCTATAAATATAGTTTGTTTAAAAATAAATTACAAGTATATTTACTGAATGAAAAGTGTATTAATTCTAAACACATTTTGTCCACTTAAACATAAGGAGGGATAAAAATGAATTATTTCATAAATTAAATCATGCAAATTAAAATTAAATAATTTTAAAAATAAAAACAAAATCCAAATAAAACACCTACTAAAAAAAGATTAAATATTTGATTTATTTACCTGTATGCCATGTGAAAAGAAACAAATACAAGTATATTTACTCTAAATGCTTTTTGTTCTGTAAATATACTTGTAATTCATTTTTTAATTAAACTTTTAATATATTTACTAGTAAAAATGTAAATATTTACTGAATGAAAAACACTTTGTACAAAGAAGGGACTAAAAGGAATTATTTCCTAAATTAAATCATAAAACTATAGATTTAAAACAATTAAAAAAAAATCTAAATAAATGTAATAAGGCTAACATCAGAGAGCTGTGAATTGTGCTGTTAAATTATTGAAATAATTTTCATATTTAAAGTACATATTTAAGGTCAAAATTCAAAAATAGTTTGTGAATTTGTGTTCAGCTCCTGCTGTAACTAATGCAGCCTTTCTAACATCTTGCCAATACTTAAAGGTGGTGTAAGCGATTTCTGGTAGCCAATGTTGACATTTGAAATCACCAAAACAAACAGTTGACATTTGAAATCACCAAAAAAGGGTCTCGCCCCTATTTTGATAGCTCCGCCCCACACATACGTACGCAACCCAGGCAACGATTAGTTCTGTGAAACAAAGCAAAACCAATGTTACACCGTGTCTACACCGGACGCGAGTGGCGCGGCAAAATACTATAGAACTCATTATAATCAGTGATGCTGTCTACACCATAGATATAATATACATATCTATGGTCTACACTGGATGCGGCACGGCACAACACGACAAATCCCCGACAGAAAACTGCTGCTGCGTTCAATTTATGACGTATTGACACAAATTTCAAATGATTTTCAACGGTCGCTTTGTCATGTCCAGTGTACTAGACAGACTTTAACTGTTGCGGCACAGACACGGTGTTACTCACCTACTGAGAAGAAACAAAGCAACCTCAGCGTCCGATCGCAGGCCTTCCGCTCCTTAAGTTCTCTCCAGCGCTGGAAAGCTGATCCGATATTTACACCGATTAATCACATCCAAAATAAAAGTTTTTGTTTACATAATATATGTCTGTTCTGTGTATAATTATCATGTATATATAAGTACACACACATACAGCATATATTTTGAAAATATTTACATGCATTTAATACAGTAATTTAATGCCAATTAATGTAAATATAAAAATGATTATGGCAATAATAGCAAATAAGAATCACCATAAATATATACACAGAAATGAACCTGACCTTCAGCCTCCGCAGTGTTTGCCTCTGGGGTCTCAGATTTCCCACAATCCACTGCACAGTTACATTCAGCTCTGACTCCATTCTGATATGAATCACAGCCACATTAATTCGACATAAATAAAACATTAATATATCTGCTACATTACATCAGTAGAACTGCCCATTTTATGTTAACTTTAAACAAGAACTATTTAATTACACAATGTGAGCACAAACAAACGGAGCGACACTTTCTATAAATAGACACGTTAATTAATCCGATGAGAGTTCTGGAATCGCTCAAGCGTAAGTGTGACAGATGCAGAGCAACGTATTGCGATGCACAAGCAGCACATCCAGATGTGTGTTGAGGAGACGTGAGGCGTGTTCCTCCTATGTAACGTTCATTAACGGCAGACAGCAGCCCATCTATCTACACGGAAGCCTCACACACATCCGTTCATGTTTGTGTCCATTCATTCCTTCTCTTTTCTTACTTTAACGTCCTTCTCTGAGTTTCAAGGAATAGTTCACTAAAAAATGAACATTTAATGAAACTTAACTCACCCTCAGGCCATCCGAGATGTAGATGAGTTTGTTTCTTCTTCATCAGATTTGGAGAAATGTAGCATTGCATCAGATTCTCAGCAATGGATGCTCTGCAGTGAATGGGTGCCGTCAGAATGAGAGTCCAAACAGCTGATAAAAACATCACAATAATCCACAAGTAATCCAGTCCAGCAGTTAACATCTTGTGAAGCCACAAATACATCAAGATGTTTTTAAACTTCAAACCGTTGCTTCTGGCTAAAATATGAGTCCATAATCCATAATAACGCTTCTCTCCTCTCGCCTCTCACATCAAAATCCACACACATTTGTTTAGAGCTGTTTTGGCTTGTAAATGGTGATCTGTGCAGATTTCTCTCCTGATTCAGACCAGACACTTTTTTCACTTTGGAGATCTGTATTTTATTATCTATATCTATTAACAGCATTAATGACATGCTGTCAATAACTACAGATAATAGCAATTAGCTCCAGTCTCATGCGAGCATTTGTATAAGGTGTTATATGTATAAGGTGTCATAGTTCGAAATACCAAGTAGTTTGGTTTCATATTTTCATCATTTCTTTGCATTGCTGCCTTCTGTTCATCTGTGCTTCTGTTGATTGTATATTTATATATTCACTTGCAAATATATAAATAAATAATCTAAAACTAAATTATAAGTATATTTACTCAAAACACTTCTTGTTCAGTAAAATTATTTATTTAATTAGTTAATGGTAAATATATAAATAATTTGTTTAAAAATAAATCACAAGTGTGTTTCCTCTAAATGCACTTTTTGTTTAGTAAATATACTTGCAATTTCTTTTTAAATAAGTTCATTTATACACTTCCTAGTAAACAAATAATTTATTTTAAAAATTACAAGTATATTCACTCTAAACAAAGTTTTCATTCAGTAAAATTCATTGTATTTACTCAAAACACTTTCAGTAAAATTATTTGATTATTAGCTACTACATATATAAATAATTTATTTAAAAATAAATCACAAGTGTATTTCCTCTAAATGCACTTTTTGTTCAGAAAATATATTTGTAATTTCTTTTTAAATAAAGGATTAATTTATACACTTACTATTACATATATAAATAATAATTTATTTAAAATGAAAATACAAGCAAACTTTCTGTTAAAAATATTATTTTATATATTCACTTGTAAATATATAAATAATTTATTTGAAGAAAAAAAATCACAAGTATATTTACTCTAAACAAACCTTTTGTTCAGTAAATACTTTTTGTATTTTTTAAAAGCGAAATGAATTAGTAAATATATACAAATTAATAATTTATTTAAAAAAGCTCAAAAACATAAAAGTATACTTAACTCTAAACACTCTTTGCATTTATTTATACACAATAAGGGACAAGAAGAAATTATTTTTTAGAGTAAATCGACAGCACAACACACATGATGCGATCCATAGACATCAAGTCTAAAATAACTTGTAATATTCTTATAACATTACATTTACGTTCTGCTCTTGTGTGCCTTCCTATACAAATGAATGTGTTAAAGAGAAAAAGAAAACCAGAATGAAGTGTGGTGATATTTCATTCAGTTTCTCCATTGAAGACCTCTATTTTATAAACAATGTAAAATAATTGACTGTCAAATGAATGTATTTGGACATTTACACTGTCTAAATGTATTATGTTGTTTCTCTGTCTAAATGACCCTTGCTTTAATGCTCAGAATGGTTTCTCTTGTCAGAAATGATCTCTTGATTTTATTTTCATTATATGAACTTGTTTATTGTAATTTGCTCTAATTAAATCATTTGATTGTCATTGCCCAGTTGATTATAGTGACTTAATATTTGCACTTTGCCTCTAATGTTTTCAATGTAACGTGTTTTGGATTCTGTTATATAGTCGTACACATGTGGAAATGATTCAAATAAATGTTTTGATTTATAATGATAATCTTGTCAGTCAAACGTTTATTGGCCGCATTTCTAATGAGCATCATAAATACATACAACACTCATTTATGGCCCATAAAAGAGTGCAATGTTAGTATCCTACATATTTATGTATGCAATCAGCTCATGTATATAGCCCTGTGAACTCATGTTATGTGATTATGAGTATTAATGAAGTTACTATATTAAGAAAATAACTATCTATACTGGTGCTTTTAAGAAACTAGAAACCAAAACGCTGATCTGAAGAACCTTTGTAAGCTCTCCAAAGAACCTATAAAGCCAAAAATGATTCTTGAAAAGAAGTCAGTCTTCCAGAGAACTTTTATTTTGAAAAGTGTAATTAATGATACGGTTGAATTTTGAGACCATCCCTGCCCACCTCTGTGTCTCTGTGTGTGTGTGTGTGTGTTTAGGAAGGACCGTACGTGATGCTGAAAAAGAACTGGGAGATGTATGAAGGAAATGACCAGTATGAAGGATACTGCGTGGATCTGGCGTCTGAGATCGCCAAGCACATCGGCATCAGGTACAAGATCTCCATCGTTCCTGACGGGAAATACGGAGCCAGAGATCCAGAGACGAAGATCTGGAATGGCATGGTTGGGGAGCTGGTGTACGGGGTGAGATATATACATATATATCAGCCACACAGGGTCATTTACATGTGTATTTACATTTTACAGATAATTCTCATCGTGTTTTATCATGAACGTTACCTTTTTTCCCACACATCAGTCTTTTTTCATGTGCATCAGATGGAAGAGCCTGGAAAATAGTTTTCCAACATGATTTCAGCTAAAGAAGCTACATTTATGATATGATACGTTACAGTAATATAAAATATAAAAAATGGAGAGAAGAACATTTTTACTGGTAAATATACAAACATTTATATTTATGGAACAAAAAAAAAGTGTTTAATGTTATGTTTTTTTTTTTTTATATATATATAAATTGTTTATATATTTACCAGCAAAATGTAAAAAAAAAAAAAAAATACAAGTATA